TTGGCTTCACAACAGAAAATATAGTCACAATAACCTTAATTATGGTGAGACTTGCATATCTCCATAATTAGATTTATGACATTCATGTCCTCAGTACCTTGGAAACTGTGAGCTTTAGAGATAAACAGCTAAGCTGAATTTTAAAAAGACTTCATCCATTTATATTTTTCAGTGTAGTGAGTACTAATTGCCATTTCCAAAATCTCAGGAGAAGTCTTTGCATTGCTGCTATTTTCATGTCTTCAGATTGTGGGGATTATTCCCTAGATAATTTTAACCACAAGTTGATTTCAGCTAAATTTTGTTCTGTTATTAGGAATAAATATAATACAGTATGTCCCAACAGAATGCACTCGAGACTGTCTTGCACAACAGTTTTGCACTTGCATTATTATATTATGACTGTCAAATGAAAGATTTCATTAAAAGTTAAGTTTAATCTAATGAATAATAATGAATGCTGCTTAGCTAGTGCCTGTCAAAGCTGACCATCTAGGAAATCCTGTATTGATCTCTATTGCAAGGAACTTAATAAAAACATAAATGCATCAATAAATACATCAATACGTATTTTAATTATTCTTGACAACAAAAGATAATAGCAACTAAAGATTTCCATATAACATAATACTCAAGTCATGGTATGTGAAATAGGATGACAGCTTGTGGGTGCATGACATATTATGGTAATTTCTCAGGGGACTATCTTCTAGGCCATGGGTACGCAACCCAAGTCAGAGGTTGTTCCAGCTGCTGGCAGTTCTAGCTGCTGCCACAACCACTTGTCTCCATGGTGGCGACAGTGTCCACAAGCTGAAGACCTCTACCACCAAAACTCCACATCCATGGGCCAGATCTAAAGGTTATGCGGGCCAAATTCAGCCAGCAGCTGGTAGGTTGCCAACCACTATTCTAGAATGATGCTATTATTTATGTAAAGCCAGTGTTGTTCATATGTCAGACAAGAAGACAAATTAAGGGCTACAGTCACCCACGACAATGAGGCTACATCAACAGGGCAGATAGTTCTCTTACACCAAGTAAATATGAACCTCAAGGGAGACCTCACACCAGCATTCATGTCTAATGTCAAAGGCATCCTCAGACCCTTCCTCTCCCAGCTTCAAGCAAAACCTCAAACTTACTGTTTCCTCTCTCAACCTAGGAACACTTCACATGTTTACAAGACATTCAGACAATAAGCTTTTAGACACATCATATTAAATGGTGGTATCCTCACAGAAGAACTCCTATGGCTCACTGAAACCCTCTTTAAACTGCTTGCCACTGAAAAAGCAAATTTTCTACACAGTACAGACTTCCTCAACAAGATCCAGAACATAAACCACCTACTGAGGTGGTTGTAGCCATGCTGCCATGGATGTCACTAGCCTGAAAACTAACATTTCACATCATGAAGGCATTAGCATCTGCCTGAACATGCACCACTCATTGGTTTTACAGCCACAACATATTGAACAACTAATCCATTTCATCCTTGGCCTCAACAATTTTCCTTTCAACAACTAGTACCACCCAGATGTTATAATTCATGCTGCTTTCTTCAGTGGTGATGTAGTCTGTGTTGATAAGGGTGAGTAACAGGCATCAGGGTTTGTAACAAGGCACAATGTCCTGGTGAGAATTGGAGTTAGGTAGTCTGTTGATGAGGAGACGTTGGGTAAGGTTGAGAGGCTGCCTATAAACCCAAATATGATTGTCCCACAAGGCTCCAGGAGAGGTTGGAGGTCATTAATGAACACCTGAGGTTTATTCACCTGGTCTTCCACCAACATATGTTCCATAAAGAGCAATCCTTACATAAAAGAATAAATGGAAATTGGTTCAACATCAATTCCAGAACCGTACAAAAACCTGTGGCCAAACACTTTAATCTCTCTGGAAATGCCATTACTGATTTTGGAGTAGCTGTCCTTAAACAAAAGAAAAAAAAACTCTTTAAAAACCAAACTGAGTGCAAAGTTGCAGGACAAGAAATCATCCATACACCGGATTGTATTAACTATGGCTTCAACAGGGACTACAGTTTGTTATCCTGTTACCTGGACTACCCGTTTACTTATTGGGTCCCTCCAGGTGTTAACAACCTTGTCCATCTCAATTAATTTAATCAACCAACTCATTATCTTTTTGCAGTGTCCCCTACTTCTGTCCTGCTTCTCTTCTACATAAAATATATTCTTTGGTTTAATGCACTAAATAGCATTTGATGAAGTAAGTTGCTGCCTATGAAAGCTCATGCCTTTGAGCCAGTTAGTCTAGGGTGCCACACTGCTCTTTCTGCTCTGTTCCTGACATTTTCACCATCTGAACTGAATACCTATACCACTTACTGGTTCCTACCACAGCTTCAATGATGACTATCCTTCATCCAAATTCTGGCCCTAATACTTTTATACTAACATAAGTTTCCTAGATATCATGGCCCACATCTAGAATGGCGCACTACAAACCACCATATATAAGCCATGGGACTGACATGTTTACCTCCATAATGGTATTAACCATCCCAAACACACCAAAAACAAAGCTGTAATCTCCCCACTGCATCTGTTTTGAGAATATTCATGACACTCACCTCACCAACCTTAAAACTGCCTTTGTTCACCAAGGCACTCCAGGAAATAAATAGTTAATACCCAGTGAATGAGCCACCCAAATACCCTGAGCAGGCCTGTCACAATAAAGAAAACTCCTGGTCATCACACTGCTTGTTGACATATACCATCCAATGCCAAAACCTGCAAGAAAGAGGAAACGAGAAATATTCCCTATACAGACGTCCCCTTTTTCTTGGTTGTCAAATAATCCCTCAGCCTCACCTAACTCATCATCAAAAACAAACTCCCAACTGATCAAACAAACATTTAGGGGAACCTGTGTACCAATACAAATACAAAACCTGTCAACACATATTCACCATCACCACAATCAACATACCCCACAATAAAATAATAACAATCCATGTATCTTATAAGTAGATCAGAGAACACCAATGCACCAAATACCCTCATGGAACCTATGTAGGTGAAATTTAATATTATACTCAATAATAGCCTCTCACAGAAAAATAATAAAGGGTAGAAACCCCCAGTGAACAGTGGGGAACACTTTTCACAGCACAGCCTTTGCATCTCTGACCTCACAGTTCTTGCACCCAAGGGAAACCTATAACATACCTGAAGAAGACAGGCCTGAGAACAAAAATCCATAATTTTACTGGACACTAAAAAATGGACTTAACACAGACAACAGTTTTATGACACATTACAAGTCATCTTCTCTCTCTGCTAACCTCTCTGTACTGCACAGTTAATAATGACATTGTTTCCATTTGAATAGTCATATTCTTTTACATAACTGAGTTTATCTATTTCAACTGCCTTTATCTTGATTTTTAGCTATTCCTCATAACTTCTCTTTTATCTTCAGGTTCACCCCCCTCTTCCTGTTCTTAAGTGATTCTTTATATTTACATCATGTAGTTAAACAAAAGGCATTGTTTTACCCAGTTTTTACCTGAGGCTGTATCTGGTTCTTTTCCAGACCTGATGAAGGACATTTTTGTGCCAGAAAGCTTATCCAATGCCTCTCCCTACTATGTAGGTGGTCCAATAAAATATTACCAAGCTAACCTTACTTTTGTGTAGCTATGTACAGATAGTTGTATTACAGAAACCTGAAGTAGTCATAATGTACCAAGAGATCATAGATATGCTGCCCACCTGTTAGTGAGCAGTTCTGTCAAAAAATGTCCTTCTTTATTACCAAACAAATAACATTACTTATGTACATATATTGACAACATGCACAGAGTTAAATTATTTTTTCCATTATTCTTGTTAATTTCCCTCTAAAATATCTGGCACTCAGACAAATACTGGACCACATTAAACATGTGATCTGACAATTCTTAGGTTTCTATATGAACTCAGATTCTCTGCTCTTACTCCTTGAAGACATATGTGGGCAGAGCAGAGTAGTTTTTTGGCAAGTGGTATTCCACTTCTCCAAAGAGTGGGGAAAGAATTAAGTCAGTGGGTATATAACATTAAAACATGACTTAAGATTTTTCCTGGATTGGAACCAAGTGCTTAGTACTTGCAAGGTCAAATTTGTAACTCAGACTCCTGGCAGCAGCGTTACCTCTAAGCTGTGCGCGGTGCATGGCCGTGCAGGCATGCTCATGCCACGCTGCCAAGTGTGCCTGCTCAGTCATGTAGCTTAGAGGAAACACTGCCTAGCAGTTGTTGCACTTAAAACAGGATTAACACTTAAAGGTATGATTACGTAGTAACCTGACCACATCAGTTAAAGGCATGATAAAATATGTAATAAGCCATAAAGTTATTACACAAAAATCTATAATAACTTTGTGGCTGGTTCCCACTGTGCCATAAGTTGAACACATGGCCAACACTGGAGCCTAAAGGGCTCTCGTGTCTCCTGAGTCTTGGAGCTCCTGTCAGCTGATTGGGAGTCCTAGCTCTGGGAGAGCATGGGAACCATGGGATCAATGTGCTCCCACAACTGGGAGCATCGATCAGGTAACCAGTGCTCCCAAATGTGGGATGAGAAAGAAGCGGACACAGGCTGAACTAAACAACAGGAAAAACGTGGCTTGTGTTGGACACCATGTAACTGAAAGCAGTTACTTAAGGAATGGAGAATGGCATTAAAGTGGGAGCAAAGGAAGGTCATTTTATTAAATATATTCATCTCTTGTCAATATGGTAAAAATATTGCTACTATATGAGGAATATTAAACCAATTTTATTTTCTGTTCCCCTTGCTGTTAAACTATTTGTGCTTGGTCTGACTGTTCAGCTTGGAATCTAATGCCCCTGGAGATGCATATTTTGCATTTTAGTGCAGGACTAGAAAATGAGTGTTACCATATATTCTTTTACCAACTTTAATGGAAAGAGTATCTCACTGAAAAAGGAATGAAAAAAACAGATTTACACTGAGCATCATACCTGAACGCAGAGCGTCTTTCTGGATACTTTCGTAGTCATGCCAGTCCTTTCTTTTCAAGCCATCTGTCCAAGTGAAGAGCTGTCCATCTCCCAGACTCAGTGGAAATGTCTGTAGAAAAAGTATAGCATAAATGTCCTTATTTAATAATATATATAGGTTGCAAGATGTGAGGTGCTTTTTCAAATCAAAGCTAATATAAATTAATTTATAAAAGTGTGGTTTAATAAGGGCATGGATAACACACAGCATTTAAAATGGTTTAAATGTGGTTTAACCCTGAAGTAGGCAAACATGTGAGGCTGATAAAGTGTAAAAGTGCACCTAGAAAAAAGTTGAGTACTACGTCAAGCTGTGATAAGGATCTGCTGGATTGTCCAAGCACCCTACTCTACTTGTTCCTCACCCCTCTTCTCCCTCCCTCATCCTCCCCAGCTGCTGCAGGTGGGCACTCTAGTATGTGCTCAGAATTCTATTGCCACCTTTTTTTTTCTTCTCTTGGCACTTTTTCATCAATGAGCTCCCCTGCACTGCTTGTTCAATAAAGGCTATCTTTCTAACAGTTGTGTCCTTAGTCTCTACTCAACCACAGCTCCTCAACATACCCTCCCAGCCCCTGAAACCAAAGAAATATGGGTCCAAGCCCTCCCCCCTTCCAGGTACTATAAATCAGGCAAACCCACTGTAGACTTCAGTCAATCAGGCTATATATAGACAGTCAAAAAAGCCCAAGGCTGAATCAATTCAATCTTTGTAGGTTTCTATAAAATGCCAGGATTGAACCAATTAGAAAGTGAACTGATGTTCACTTTTAAAACCCAAAAGACAGCCAGACCCCTGCAGTGGCCCATACCAGGAGCTGGGGGGGAGGGGGGGGAAGGGGCATTAAAGCACACCTCGCAGCTTGCTGGCCACTGCAGAGAGCCAAGAGACAGGTGATTCCCCCAGCCATGCCCCCTCTTCAGCCTCCAGCCAGCTGAGGAAGGAGCAAGGGGGGAGCCCTCCCCCACACCAACCCCCAGCCAGGGTCTCTCTGGCACTGGGGAAGGAGGGGGGAAACCCCTATCAAGCAGTTTCATCCTTTCTCCCCTGTGTCTGGAGCTGGTTCCACTAGCCATGTCCCCTCCTCAGTCCGGGCCAGCTGAGGAAGGGGTGTGGGGGGGAACCCTCCCCCTCCCCTGCACCCAGCACCAGAACCCCAGCTAAGGAGGGAAGAGAGGAAGGGGAAGGAGGGAAAGGAGAAGCCCCCAGTGGGGCAGTTTTCCCCTCTCTTTCCCCACACTCCATGCACCCAGAGCTGAAGCCAAAACAATCACCTGGCCATGTCCCCACCTTGGGTAGCTGAGTGGGGAGGGGAAACACCTCCCAGCTGCAGACTCCTAGCTGGGCTGTGCATGGGGCAGGGGAGGGGAAAAGTTCACAGTGGAAGTCATGTTTCCACCACACACCCCCTCCCTCTTTCAGCTGGTCTGCCACCCAAGGAGGGGGCATGGCTGGGTGATTTCCCCAACTCCTGGCTTGGATGGGGGGGAGTAAAGCCCCCACTTTGAATTTCCCGCAGCCAGGAACTGGGGTGATCAGGCCGGCTGAGGAGGGAATGAGAAGGGCCCCCCATCCAGATCTGGATTCCTAGTGAGGCTGTGTCTGGCATGTGGGGAAAACCCGCAGTGGGAGCCATTTTCCCCTGCACTCCCTCCTCAGCTGGCCTGCTGGCTGAGGATGGGGCATGGTTGAGTGATTGTCCCAAATCCCAGCTGCAGAGGAGCTGACAGTGGGGGCTTTACTCCCCCCACCCGAGTCAGGAGCTGGGGCAATCAACTGGCCACAACCCTTCCTCAGCCAGTAGGCCAGCTGAGGAGGGAGTGTGATGGGGAAATGGCTCCCTCCCTGCCTAGGTCCGGACTCCCATCCAGGCTGTGCCTGGTGTGGGGGAAGAAGCCCACAGTGGGGGCCATTTTGCACCCCCAGTCTCTCCTCATCTGGCCTGCTGGCTGAGGAAGGGCAGTGGACAGATGATCAACCCAGCTCCTGGTTTGGGCAAGGGAAGCAAAGCCCCCATTGTGAGCTTGCCCACAGCTAGGAGCCAGGGCGATCACCCGGCCATGTCCCCTCCTTAGCTGGAAGGTTCATGGTGGAAGGAGTGGGAAGCAAAATGGCGCCCCCCACCAGCTAGATGCACCCCCCCCCATGCTGGGCACAGCTGGCCTGGGAGGGGGCATGGCTTGGTGATTGCCCCATCCTTGTGGCAGGGAAGCCTGCAGTGGGGGCTTTACTCCCCTTGCCCAATCTGGGAGTCATGGTGATCACCCAGCCATGTGCCCTCCCTGGTTAGTGGGCCATTGGGGGAGGGACTGAGTGGGGAGAAACAGCCCCGCTCTACCCAGCTCCAGCTGAGCTGTGTCTGGACAAGGGGGGGGTGTGGACCCAAAAGGAGGGCTTTACTTCCTGCACCTAAGCTAGGAATTGGGAATCAGAGCAATCACCCAACCATGCCCCCACCCCGAACGATGGGCAGGCTGAGGAGGAAACTGGGAGGGAAAATGGCCACCCTTTCCCTTCCCCTGCCCCTATTCTAGACCCTCAGCCAGGCTGTGCCTGGTGGTGGGGAGGGGTTGAACTTACAGTGGGGCCTTTGCTTCCCTCCCCCACCCCCAAGCTGGGACCCAAGTCACACCCCCTCCCTGGCCAGTGAGCCAGTTAAAGAGGGAATGTGGGGGGATACCACCCCCCAGCTCTGGGCCCTCAGCCAATCTGTGCCTAGAATGTGGAGAACCTGTAGTAAGGGATTTAATTCCCCCATCCCAGCTGGGAGCTGAGCCAATTGCCCTGGGCCAGTGGAATCTGCTGGGTTCTGGGCTGCCAGGGGTCTTACAGCTGGGGGCAGGGCTGCCCTGCTCTGCTGGAAGAGAGTACAGCCCAGGGATGCATCCTGGGATGCTAGAGGATTGTGAGTTAACTTGAATTTGGAGGGGATCTGGGACAGAAGTTCCATAAATGGGTTTGACCTAAATCAGTTAAATCTGATACTATATCCATCCAGGTTTGTTTTTAGCCAGTTTCAGTCATTTTAGAAACAATTTAAGTGCACTGAAATTCTGTTCTGTTACAGGTGTAAACCAGTTCTTGATCACTTAAACCAGTTTATGCATAAAGTCTGTCCCTAGCCTTGCAGGGTACTGAAGTTTATTGAACATATGTTTAAGGGAGAAAGGAATGCAGAAAAATGAAAACACACCCAGCCACAGGTCACCTACGCCCGGGGACCTCCAAAGCTTGAGTATGTGCAGAACTCCACACTTACCCACTGCAAGGCATGCTGGTCTGGGTCATCTCTTAACTTTTGGCTATTGGAAAATACTGAGAACACTAGCATATTTTGAAATGAAATGAAAGTGGCCACGAGTGCTGGTGTCAAAACCACAGCACTGAACACAATTGAACTATCTTTCAATCAGTGAAATTTTGAAACAGTTAAATTGTTATGTATGTCCACAAACTAAATGAAAAAAATATAATACAGTTTAAAGGGGACCCAATGTCATATGGTTCCTATTTTCATGTCCAACATTCTTCTGCATAAGGTATTTGGCTAGCAAAAGGCACACTGTACCCCATACACTGTAAATCAAGCCTAGCTGGACCTTTCAGTTCAGAAGAACACTATGCAATTCATGTCTTGACCAAAAGTAATGTTCACAAAACCACTAAAACATCTAAGTCCAAATTAACAGAAATCCCCATGTATTTTCATCAGATATCAATAGTTCATCCATTGTGTACACCAAAAGGTGCTGCCTTCTTTTCTGAGCCATTTAGGATTCATAAACTACCTTTAAGCCTATCTCAAATAGGGCTCTAATCCAATAGGCATGATCAGACTACACCCAATACAGAGACAGTATGGTGCGCAGCACTCATGGCCACTTTCAGAAGATATAATAGTACTACCAGTATTTTTCAATAGCCAAAAGTTAAGCGTCCAAATTGGGAAAGACCTAGGTTTCCTCCTTCACTTAAATACATATGTAAAATTGGATTGAAACCCCCAAATCAGGACACCCTCTCACACTCTCAGAGGAGTCACTTCTTCCAGGGCTATCCATCTTGTTTTCCTTGTCTCACTGGCCCACTGAATCTTTTTGTTCCTTCCACAGTGGCTCAGCTTCAACCAAAGCGTTGGAGGCTGCTCTAGGCTAAGCCTAGCCTCTAGCCTGGTGGTTAAGGCACTTTTCTGGGAGCTATAAGGTTTGAACTCCACAGGGAGCATAGAATCCAGTTGTACCATTTCCTAGGTAAGTTCTCTAACCCTACCAATGTGGCTATATCCTGCCTACTGAACTAGGAGGTACTCTCTCTCTTCTCTGGATAGTACTGCTCAGTTTCCTTAAGGCCCATTTTCTCTGCTTCTAACGGAGATAGAGGGAGGGAGGGAGGGCGGGAGACGCCAACATTTAGCTACTTTCACACAACTGGGTTCTGTTGTGGACCCCCCGCCCCAGTCTCCTGTCCTTGTACCTGACAGTCCCTAACATTCTTCATGATTTTTGCCTAAACACATGGATAGAGAAAAAAATACCAACTTGCACACATCTTCAGTAGACCACATATTACAATAGGCCATTAGAAAAAATGCCCCATGCCTCCTTGCTATCTCTTTTGAAAATAAGATATACAAACACTATACTGGTAAATGGAATCATCTATGATTACCTCTAGTAATAAAGATTTTTTTGCCCATGGCTTTTTTTTTTTGTGGATAAAGCTCCATTTCTTTTTTCAAAAGAGAGGTAAAGGATCAAGCCATTAGAAGTACAAAAATAAAATCCAAACTCCCAGTCTGTAAAAGACTGTAGAATACTGAAATTGTTTCAGATGCCAATGGAGTTTTTCCAAACACTTAAAAATATTTGACAAATTGG